TTGCTGATATTGGATTCACCAGCCTCTGCAGCCAGCAGCCTGCTGTCTTATTTGCTTATACTGGATTCACCAGCCTCTGCAGCCAGCAGCCTGCTATCTTATTTGTTGATACTGGATTCACCAGCCTCTGCAGCCAGCAGCCTGCTGTCTTTCCTGATCTTGCGTTTGTCGATCCCTGCAGCTACGTGAGTCAGGAGAAGCCAGCTTCTACAACCCTGTGAGTCCTTTCCTTGAAACAAATCTCTCTATATATACAGAGATTGATAGTACATTTCACTGGCTTTGTTGCTCAAGCACAGCAGAAAGTCCACCAGCTTAGGCTAAAGGGGGCTGAGGAAGAATGAATGGAGAGAGTGCTGCTGGTCTCTCGGAACTTTACAGGTAGGAAATAGGCCAAAGGAGCCACACCTGTTTTCTCCAAGCAATGAAAAGACGCTTCCCTAGAGCCATCTGGAGATTAGTAGAGCTGTTGGAAGCATGGGAAGCAAGCCCTTCTCAATTTTCTCACATACCTTTTCCCTGTCATTGATTTCTAATTTAATTCCATTGTGGCAATCAACCTTTGTATGATTGCAATCCGCTTCAATGTACTAAGACTTGTTTTATGGCCAACCACACAGTCTATTCTGGAGAAGATCCATTTGCATATGAAAAGATTGTATTCTGCTACTGTTAGGTGGGATGTTCCAAATTTGTTAAGCTCAAGTTGGTCAAGTATGTTCTTCATGTATTCTACGTTGTAGCTGTCATTGAATTGGTCCCAGCAACCCTCTGCACAATGGAACAAAACACTGCCTAGTCCTACGCCACAATCACAATTGTTGTCATGTTTGAGCCCACTGCTGTAGACACTGTGTCAATCCATCTCGTTGGGGGTCTCCCTCTTGTTTTGATTAACCTCTGTGTTGCCAAACATGATATCCTTTTAGACGTCTCTCCAAATAGCACGTCTGAAGTATGAAGGGAGAAGTCTTGCCATGCTCGCGTCCAAGGAACACTCTGGCTATACTTCAAAGCAGGTTTGTTTGTTCTTGTGACAGTTCATGGTGCTGTCAGTATTCGTCACCAATTGCATTAATTCTTTTACCATCTTCCTTATTTATTGTCCAGCTTCTGCATACATACGAGACAACTGAAAATAGCATGGCTTGACTTAGGCATATCTTTGTCCTCAAAGTGCATCTTTGCTCCGTAGCACTTTAAGGATGTAGTTTTTGCAGCAGATTTTACCTGATGTCATAAATACATAGTTTGATTTTTTTCACTGTTGCTTCCATGAGTGCTGATTGTGGATCCAAGTAAAATGAAATATTTGACAACTTCAATATTTTCTCTGTTTATTATGCTGTTATTTATTGGTCTGTTGTTATGTGCCGTGGAGTCGGTTCCGACCATAGCGACCCTGTACAGGGTTTCTGAGGCTATAAATCTTTACGGGAGCAGAAAGTCTCATCTTTCTCCTGTGGAGCAGCTGGCAGTTTCGAACTGCTGACCTTGCGGTTCGCAGCCTGATTCGTAACCACTACACTACCAGAGCTCCTATTTATTGGTCTAGTTGTGAGGATTTTCATCTTCTTTACACTGAGGTGCAATTCATACTGAGGAATGTAGTCTTTGATCTTCATCAGTGAATACTTCAAGTCTTCTCATTTCCCACAGGAAAGGTTGTGTAATCTACATATTGTTGTTAAGTGCCGTCAAGTTGGTTCTATAGCGACCCTGTATAGGGTTTCCAAGGAAAAACTTGGTGGGTTTGAACTGCCAACCTGTGGCTTGCAGTCCAGTGCTGATCCTATAACACCACACCAGGAGTTCAAACGTTGTCAGTAATCCAGTTTCTCAGATTATTTGCTCAGTATATGATTGAATAAATATGATGAAAGGCTATGACACTGGTGCACGCCTTTCCTAATTTTAACCCATTCAGTATTTCCTTGTTCTGTTCAAATGACTGCCTTCTTGGACTATGTACAGGTTCCTCATGAATATAATTGTTCTAGAATCCCTAATCTTCTTAATGTTATTCATAATTTGTTGTAATCCACAGTCAAATGCCTTTGCATAGTCAAAACGACAACTACAAACACAACCCACAAGTAAAATACCTTTCTAGTATTCTCTGCTTTCAGCCAAGGTTCATCTGATGTCAGCAATGAGATCCGTAGTTTTAAGTCACTTGTGAATTTGGCTTGAAATTCTGGCGGCTTCCTGTCAATGAACAGCTGTAACACTTTCTCATGTCTCTTCAGGAAAATTGTACTTGCATGTGAGATTCATGATATTGTTTAATAGCTTCCACATCCATTGGCTCATCTTTTTTTTTGGAATGGGAGCAAATATGGACCTCTTCTAATTGGTGGGCCTGGTAGCTGTCTTCCAAATGTCTTGGCATAGATGAGTGAGCGCCTTCAGTGCTGCGTCATGCTGTTGAAACATTTCCATTTGTATTCTGTCAGTTCTCGGAGGCTTGTCCATCAGTTCTTGATCACATGCTACCTCTTGAAATGGCTGAGCATCAACCAATTCTTTTTGGGTCGCTATGAGTCGCTACTGACTCGATGGCACCTAACAACATATACTGCCTGTCTTATTATACAGGACAGAGCGTACCTCTCTATGCATAGAAAACATTACAGAAACACTTCCAGATGCCCTAAGACATCTTTAACACAGTAATATGGAAATAATAAAAAAAAAAAAAGTATTCATGTGCTTCATAAAACATCAGCCCTACCTTACTACAAAAAGGAGCTCTGGTCGTGTAGTGGTTACGAATGGGGTTTCTAACCTGAAGGTCGGCAGTTCGAAACTACCAGCAGTTCCGCGGGAGAAAGATGAGGCTTTCTGCTCCCGTAAAGATTTACAGCCTCGGAAACCCTGTGCGGGGTCACTATGAGTCTATGGTACTTAACAACAACAACCTTATTACAAACCATTGCATGTCCCTACAGCTTTTGATATTATAATAAGTCTTACAGGGTAACTTTGTAATTACAGGTTACTTGTACAGAATGAGAGATTTGTAACCTGCAGACTGCCTGCATTCCACTGTCAATTGAAGATAGACTCCCGAGATTTAAACAGATTACCTACAAATGACAGACCATCAGGCTGATGCCAGACTTCTCATCAGTACCAGTAAGAATCCACAAGGATTGTGGAGCAAAAGACTGTGAACCACAAGTTCAGCAGTTCAAACCCACCAGCCACTCCTTGGAAACACTATACAGGGTCACTGTGAGTTAGAACTAACTCGATGGCACCCAACATCATCATCAAGATGCTGAACGAGTATCACAAGAGAGCGTTCTGAATGTACCTTGCTGTTGTTGTTGTTAGGTGTCATCGAGTCGGTACCAACCCAGAGGGACCTTATGCACAGCAGAACGAAACACTGCCTGACCTTGGGCCAACCTCACTACTGTTGCCACGCTTGAGTCCATCGATGCTGCCACTTGGCCAGTCCATCTCGTTGGGGGTCTTCCTTTTTTTCTCTGACCCTCCACCTTACCAAACATGACATCCTTCTCCAGTGACTGGTCCCTCCTGACAATATGTCCAAAGTATGAGAGACGAAGCCTAGCCATCTTGGCCTCTAAGGAGCACTCTAGCTGCACTTCTTCCAAAACAGATCTATTGGTTCTTTTGGCAGTCCATGGCACTTTCAGTATTCTCCTCCAACACCACAACTCAAAGGCATCAATTCTTCTATGGTCTTCCTTATTCACTGTCCAGCTTTCTCATCCATATGAGGTTACTGAAAATACCATGGCTTGGGTCAGGCGCACCTTAGTCCTCAAGCTGACATCTCTGCTCTTCAACACTTTAAAAAGGTCTTGTGCAGCAGATTTGCCTAATGCGATACATTGTTTGATTTCTTGACTGCTGCTTCTGTGAGTATTGATAGTTGATCCAAGAAGATTGAAGTCCTTGACAACTTTATTCTTTTCTCCATTGATAAGAATGTTGTTTATTGGTCCAGTGGTGAGGATTTTTGTTCCCACACACTCATTAAAATGTGAGGCTCAGTGAAATGAAGACAATGTTAAGCAAACATCACTCACAAAATTCACCATCTGCTGACTGTCTGTGAGGTAATGATTAGGACATAAATTTCAGCAGAAAGCAAAATGAAGCTACGAAGAGAGACTGATGCAAGAAGCAATGGGGAGAAAGGACATTCAGAAGCTTAGAGTTCAGAATAAGTAAGACTTTATTATCAATGTCACCATTTCCATGCTGTTGTTGCTGTTGTGATGTGCCGTGGAGTTGGTTCTGACTCATAGTGACCCTGTACAGGGTTTCTGAGGCTGTAAATCTTTACGGGAGCAGAAAGCTTCCTCTTTCTCCTGCAGTTCTGAACTGCTGACCCTGAGGATAGCAGCCTGATTCATAACCACTACGCTACCAGAGCTGAAACCCTGAGCCATGTCGACGTTGGAGAGGGCAGGGTATTTAGTAAGGAGAGATGCCCAGGAAAGGTGGCCTCATACAGATGGCCGAGGGGGACGGGGCTGGAAAGGAAGTGCAATGCTTCAGGAAGGTCACTGTGCAGTCCAGGCGCGTGGCCTGTGGTGGGAGGAGTCAGAGCACCAAAGTTCCTCCTCCTCTTCTGACTGGACGAGGGAGACTAAGCCTGCATGGGGGTGAGGCGTGGGGTGCTGCCCTTGGAAAGAGACTAATGATTCAAAACCAGTGCTGCTGAAGGAGGCTGGTAAGCAAACTCAGTAATAGAATTCTCCTTCAAAATCAAGAGGCGACACCATGCATCCAGACCAGTTTTCCTTTGTGACTTATTAATGGTTAAGTCCAAGAGAGTGCTCCCTAAAAGTTGTCAATAGCTGTACCATTTTGGTGACCACGTGCTCTCCTCTGCTGACTTGTGGAAGGCCAACACTCATCTGAGTATGTTCTGACAGCTGTGATTAAACTGTACTTTCGTGGGACTACATTGTAACAGATCTATCCGTTTGCAGTAAGAGTACAGAATTTTTACTTACCCATGCGCCCATCTTGAGGTGGACTGATCAAAGACATTCTCATCGGGCCAGCTGCTACTTCAGGCTAGGAATGTGAAAAGAAACAAATTGACAACATTCCAAAGTGACCCTGAGTCCATCCTCCTGTCTCTATCAGCACGACAGATCCCTGCCTGTCTTGCTGTCTGATTATTTTCTGCCTCTCATGCTTGAGTGAAAGCCCCACAAGGAAGGGCTGTTCCACTAACGGCCTACCACAGGAAGGAGGGAAAGACTCCAACAGTGATTTTAATATTTCAGAAGAGGAAATGCAAATCAAGTAACACGTGAATCGAGTTAAGCCGTTCAGTCTTTAAGATCCTTATGCGAGTCAAGTTTACTAAAGGTAATACAGAAACGGCTACAATCATACATTGACAGAGAACTTCCAGAGGTTCAACATGGATTCAGAAGAGGCCGTGGAATGAGAGATATCATTGCTGATGTCTGGTGGATCTTAGCTGAAAGCAGAGAGTATCAGAAAGATATTTACCTATGTTTTATTAACTATGCAAAGGCTTTCAATTGTGTGGATCATGACAAGCTACGGACAACATTGTGAAGTATGAGTATTCTGGAACACTTAATTTTGCTCATGAGGAACTTGTACATGGACCAAGAGGCAGTTGTTCGAACAGAACATGGGAACACTGAACGGTTTAAAATTAGGAGAGGTGTGCGACAGGGTTGTATTCTTTCACCATACTTATTCAACCTGTATGCTGAGCAAATAATCTGAGATGTTGGGTTCTACGAAGAAAAACGTGGCATTAGGATTGGAGGAAGACTCATTAACAACTTGCGACATGCAGATGATACAACCTTGCTTGCTGAAAGTGAAGAGGACTTAAAATATTTACTGATGAA